TTACAAAAGAAAGCATCACTAATGAGCATAGGATCAAAACTGGATTATCAAGTTTCCTAATTTGCACGTAGAAAAAGCAGGCATTCAAATCACCAAGGTTTCTATAGAACTTTTACAGCCATTTTATAGGAAAAGTGAAACAAGTATAGATACAATTATATGTATACATATATAGCTTCAAATATTTATTAGAGAACATATTGTACTTTATAGATGTTAGGAAACAGCAAATGTTATTTTGGTCTAGTCAATACTTGCTAAAAAGCAAGGAGCGAGATTGCTGTTCTGAATAGCACTTGTCAGGTTTACAGATTAGGGAGATGAGAAAACACATATAAACCTTAGCCTCTTTACCAATCGGGGATAAGTTAAACATAAAAAAACTAGTTAAACTTTAGGTCTTCTCCCTCTCTTTTTAAATCAAAATTCTTCCCATACCTATTTGTTTATTTTTAAAGAAAATTTCTGAACAAACCCCACCCCCACCCCGGACACATAAATGGACAAAAAGCAAAAGCAGGCGCAAATACTCTCTCTGACTCAGACGTAAAAGCAGCCGGGAGAGGTTAGGAAGTGAATCACTCATTTAGCAAACCTATGTGTGCACAGTTTCTGGAATAACCCGGTCTTGGTGCTGTGTTAAATGGAGAAGAAGATGGGCAGTGAAGGAGATCCGAATGCGATATTATATCTGTGAGATCGAGTGCCCCGATCCTTCCTGCTCCATCCCCAGTTTGTATGCTGGATGCATGAGTGTAGAAGCCCACAGCTCCCAGCCAAAGGGGAAACAGTTCTTCCACCCTTCTGACCCCAAACTCACTTAGCAGATACCTGAGAGCCCATGGAGACAGCCTGCATGGGCACCATGGTCCTGGGAGAGCACTGACATTTCCAACATTCACACTCTTCAGCCTCATCCATTTTATGTTCATGATTAAGCAGATGCGCTGGTTTTGGCTGGGATAGAGTTAAGTTTCTTCACCCTAGCTGGTATGGGGCTGTGTTTTGGATTTGTGCTGGAAACAGTGTTGATAGCACAGGGATGTTTTCGTTCCAGCTGAGCAGGGCTTACCCAGAGCCAAGGGCTGTTCTGCTCCTCACCCCACCCCACCAGCGAGCAGGCTGGGGGGGCACAAGGGGTTGGAGGGGACACAGCCGGGACAGCTGACCCCGACTGACCCAAGGGACATCCCAGACCATGGGACGTCATGCTCTGTAATATAGAGCTGGGGGAAGAAGAAGGAAGGGGGGGACATTCGGAGTGATGGCGTTTGTCTTCCCAAGTCACCGTTAGGCATGATGGAGCCCTGCTGTCCTGGAGATGGCTGAACACCTGCCTGCCCATGGGAAGCGGTGAATTAATTCCTGGTTTTGCTTTGTTTGCACGTGCAGCTTTTGCTGTACCTATTAAAGTGTCTTTATCTCAGCCCACAAGTTTTCTCACTTTTTCCCTTCCGATTCTCTCCCCCATCCCACTGTGGGGGGGGAGGGGGGACAAGCGAGCGGCTGCGTGGGGCTTAGTTGCTGGCTGGGGTTAAACCACAACAGCGTAACAACAAACAGCTTTGGGCTGCATTGATTCCTACAGATGGGGCTTGTTGGGACCTGACCCAGGCTCTGTGAGACCCACATCAGGTCCTGAGGTGCAAGAGCCACAACCTCTTTCGTGGTAATCCATCACCCATCCCTACCCCTCCCTCAATTTCTTTGAGTCTGAGAGAATAAAGTCATAGAAATTTTTTTTGTGAATGGTAGATAAATTGGTGGTGGTCAGACCCTGAAGAGCCCTGAGGGGTCTGCAAGTATTAGGCCAGGTGAAAAAAATAGATAAATTGAGGCAGAGGTAAAGTTACGCAATTTACCAAAAGTCAGGCTCCAGATCAGCCTGGGTGCTCCAGGCTCGCCTGCTAAGCTTCTGCTCCAGCCATTAAATCTTTGAAAGGGATTATGCAGCAAGGTGCTGGTGATAAGAAAGACTGGATTTGACCTCTAAGGACCTTCAGATGCGACATTCCTAAATCAATTACCCTCATTCTCCAGCACGCCGGTAACACTGCAAGCAAACTCTGCAGTTGGAGTATTTTCATCTGGATAATCTTCTTTTCAACAATGCCTAAAACATCAGTCGATTTTCTGATCTATAAAGGGCTCCAAGGCAGAACTTTTGATGCTGTTATATGTTTGCATAGAAGAGGGCAGAGTGCATTAGCAGGGTTTTTACTTTACTACTCCATTAAGCATCATTTCAGAAATCACGAAGAAACCACCATCAAGAATCCAGCTTTCTTCGGCAGGGAAACACACACAGACATTAAAGGCGACATGAATTATTTTAAGCCTTATACTTCTGCCAACATACTCCACATTTTCAGCATGAAAGACCACTCCTCCAGAGACTTAGAGTCAGCCAGTGTCCTCTCAAGCAAAGGGCACAGATTGCTACTCCTTGACAAGGAAACCAGATCTAAACGATGCGTATTGCTGCTTGGGGTTTTGGTGGGTTTTGTTTGTTTTCAATGTCAGGTCTGTTCCTAAATCAAGCTGACTGTATCCAAACTGAAAAATCTGTTAAATTTTTCAAACAGCTTTTCAACATTTACTCCTTTTGAACTTTTGGTAATTTTCTTTTTTTTTTTTTTTTCCTTTGCTACACAAAGTGCTAAGTCTCAAAGATGAAAGGTGACTTTATTTCTATCCTATACTGCCTTCCCACTCATCCCTCCCAGAAATTCCTCTAATGTAACTGACATGGAGAAGCCTTTTCTCTCTCCTCAGGATGAGTCACAGGGTCCTTCCACAGCACATAGGAAAGATACATCACTTCTTGTTCTTCTCAAAGAAATATCACTTTCTTGTTCTTTTCAAAAAAGGAAGATAGGGAAAGAACACATTGGACTGCTACTTGAGGGTATTTTGTTTCCTTTTTTTCCTGAACAAATTTATCAAGCAACTAAAATTCTGCCTGGTCGTAACAGCATCTGTAACAACGTGACCACAGAAGTGCCCTGTGAATCTCCCTCCTCAAGATCAGTATCCCTGCTGCTGACATCCCCTCCTCTGCATCTGTATCCCTGCCCCATCTTTTACATACAGGAGTAAGTACCCATATGGCTATCTGCCAAGCAGACCTTTTGACAGCTGCTGGGATAAGCTTTGCAGAGTGCTCAGCAATAGTAGCGGCTTCCTTGAAGAGGGCATCCCTGCATACGCATCCAACAGCTGGCCAACCTAAACCCACTTCATGGGGCACATACCTGGCTCCCAGGCCAGCCAGCTGTTTCAGCCACCAAGCTGCTGGTTCATCCTTCTGAAGTCCAGCCTAAACTAGGCAGGAGAGTTCTTAGTATGGCTTTAGCTACTGGATCACGTAACTTCCACCCGATCACTGTAAGCTTCAGGCACCTGCAGAAGCTAGAGAAGAGCACCCTGACATCGCACCGCTTTGCAATTTCCAGCTTCAAAGGAAGACAACATTCTGGCACGTGACCTCAGTGGCAAATACGAAGGTGGCACAAACACGCACTGGCAATACACTCTAAGAACTTACTGAATGCTTCCAGTCCACCACTTAACTACAAACCAAATCACTCTCAGCTCCGTCCATGAAGTCTTGAGAAGGCTTATTAAGTGTTCCTGAATTTTAGCGTTACAGGAGACATACAAAACACAACTCCACTTCTCCCATCCTTCGGTTCCCATGTTAAGCCCTTCCCTGTTATCTAAACATACCAAAGGTGGTCCATAAAAATGCTAGCGAGTTTACCATTAGCCAGAACAAACATTACCAGCACTAGTAAATGCTACGTAGGCTACCAATGCCCAGAAAGGAGCACGTGCTTCACTTCAGCCAGCACGTGGTATTTCCAAGCAGTGAAACGTTCCCTGGTCAGAACAGCCTGATAACTATTTATAGTGTGTGGGGGTAGCTGTAGCCGTCCATCCCGTCCCTATGCACGCAGTCCAGTGGGAGCACAGACTGCCCCTGCACAGCTCCCAGCCCCAACAGGTATAAAAATCCATTCTGCCAGCATGTCTCCACCAAGCACGGCCCAAAAGTTTCTGTTGAATAAAAACACGAAGGTAGTAAGCAAAGGGTTTGTTTGTTTTTCCCACATACCCATACTTCTCCCATTGCTCTTCGGCAGAAACAATGCACAAGTGTTTTGTGATGCTAAAACTAGCTACTAAAAACACTAGGGAAGACAGAGCTTTGCTTTCAAGCTGCTGGTTTCGGTTTGAAACAGCAGTTCTGACAGACAAAACAGCGATGAAGATATAAGCAGCCTATACACGAGTAGCGATCTACCCTGGATGAGCAGCTATCTGCCCCGGCTGGAAAAGTTGTTGTGTTTTGGAGTTTTCCTTTTTCCCCCCAAAGAAGTTTTTGTTTACAGTTTTAACTGCAGTTCTTCACGAACAGTCGCACGGACTCCCCCCCTCCACTATTTTAATCTTACATAATTGGCGTAATACCAAACGCGACGTATTCTCAGAGGAAGAGGCCGCATCGCGGGCGCATCCCCAACGCCCGCACGCGCAAGCGGCGGCACAGGCGTCGAGCGGGGCGAAGCCAGGGGCTGCGGGACGGCGGCCAAAACCCCCCGGCCCCTAACTCCACCAGTCGCCTCAGAGGCGGCTGCTGACGTTCCCAAACGCCGTTCCTTACCGTTCTGTGCGCTCCTCTTTAAAGGAAACCGGTGCCAGCCACGTTAAGAGCGAGAGTTTGAGAATTCAGGGAGAAAACCCTTCCAAAGACGGGAACGAGCGGTCACTGAACCGGCAGCTCGCGGGCGGGCGGCTGCCAAAGGATGGGGAAGAGCTCCCACCCCACCAAAGTTCACCTCGCCAGGCGCTCAAGCCGCGGAGCCGGGCCCGGAGCGACGCTCGAAGCCTCGGGACCCGCGGCGGCACGGTGGGTGGGCTGCAGCTGGGGCCCCACCGCCCATCAGTCCCCGTGTGCCGTGTGTCCCCCCCTCAAAGCACGACGTGCCGGGCCCTACCTGGGAGCTGAGGTACCGCTTGAGGCACTCCTCGCACACCGCCTTCTTGCAGCAGGACAGGGGCTTGATGGGCTTCTCCTCCAGGCACACGCGGCAGCTCAGCACCAGCAGCGGCCCGAACTCCCCCGCCATCAGCCCGGAGAAGGGCTCGGGCAGCAGGTACAGGTCCACCACCTCGACGCTGCCGCCCGCCGACAGCCGGTCTCCGCCCGACGCCATCCCGCGACTCGCCGGGGGCTGCTCCGC